AAATATCTGACCAGCACAAACTACCAAACAGCAATCTGAGCTTCATTTGTGTAACACAACAGCCTTATAATTTCATGCTGGTTCATCAAAACGTTTAATATTTTGTCATTTGAAAAACCAATATGATAATATAACTTCACAAGTTTCTCTGACCTTATTTTAATGCAGTGGTAACAGCGCAAGAGTTCTCATTAAAACTATATTGACTTTTCATATATCATGAGTTTTATCTTGTAATCTTACCACTTCACAATGTTATGTCTTTATTCTCGTAATATATTAACTTTATTTTCATAATACAACCCGTCAAAAACTAAATTCCCTTTAGTCTGGCCCTAATACCCCATCATTAAAACTTTTCAGCAGTGACCCGAATTATATGGCTGTGTAATTATGCAGCAAATGGATAAGAGTATTAAATCAGAATTTAACAGCAAATTCATAAAGGGATGACAGACGATGTTGGCAGATGAGGACAAAGGAAGCTGCATTTGTTAAACAGATCTTCTGTTTTATGAATCGATTTTTGGGGATTAATATGACATTTTTTTGGAACTGAAAAAAACATTTAAATAAACCTTAAAGAGACGCATTTGAATGATTTGTGAGTAAAATCAATATCAGACTTTACATATTAATCAAATGTAAATCAATATAACCCTACGAGGGTCTATTCATTGAATCTCCACAAATTCAATTGTCTGACCCAACGATCTGACCCAACATTTTGACTTGCACACTTGGAGCTTTGACATCTTTCAGCCTGGATTTTTCTATCCAATGTCTACTGTTTTACCTTCTCATGTTTCAATAAGAGACACATGGCAAATATTTGCATGTGCTTTGAGTTTAGACTGCTTATATGGCACAGAAACTAATAAGCACCCTAGGTTTGGCTCTAATGGAATACAAACAAAGCTTTAGAAGCAACACTGCTAAGAGTCCCCTGGCCGAGCTAGTATCTGCATTTCAACAACTCTGGCTTCTGAATGCAACAAAAACTAAAGAGACACCATTGCCTCTTTAGTTCTACCTCTGACTCTGAGCCAAAATTAAACACTAATGCGACAACTTCAGGAGGACATTCATTCTGATCCTGGATACAGTCCGCAGCCCAAAAGCCGCTTAAAAGGGAGGGAAAAAAAACATTTACCAACACTGCAAACAACCCAACTGGATCGCACACACACAAAAAAAAGGTTTGGTCAAAGCTGAATGCAGAGCAGAGAGCTTCAGAAAAAAAAAAACTTTTTGTGCTTTTTTAGAGATGCTGTCTCTAAAATAAAAGCCCAATAGCACAGGTTTTCTTTTTAAGGCTTCAATCTAGAGTCAGTTTTAACTTTAAATTCACACCAAGTCAGACAGAAAACTGAACATGAAATAAAGCAACTTCACACCTAATGCTCCGATTTTTAAACCTCCAACAAACAAAATTATAAAAACACCTTTCAGTCATTTTTCATCTTTTTGACAATTTACTGTGGCAATAAAAGTACATGCTAAACAGTCACTGATAGAAACACATCCATACAATTTCTATACCAGTTGAGTCCTTGGAGTCAGAAGTGGGATGGTGGCCTTCTACAGCAGCCCTGGAAAGGTTCCCAGGCAATCACTAAGTGACACATAGGAGCCACCTGAAAGGTTGTTCCACTTCTGCAACACTCCTATGGTTCAGATGAAACATTCTCTAAATCAAAGAAAACCACAGCAAATATAAAAAGCCGTCTTCGAGGGAATGTTTGATTTATTAAAGGTAAAATGCATTCAATTCAACCTACCCAGAGTTTAAAAAAAAATTATTAAATCCTAACCTTTAACCCATTTAGGCCTAAAACGCCTGGAAAAAACACCTTAAAAACCTATGGCCGATTTTAAAAAATACCCCTAAAACCTGAAGTTTTTCTGTAAATTCAGCAACTGTGTCAACGCCTAGTAAATTATTGATATCTCAGCTTCTGTAGCAGATAGAACTCAAAATATATTTTATCTTTGAAATTCTTCCCCAAAAAAAAAGTGAAAAGCAGTAATCAAAAAAAAAAATAAAATAAAATTCAACCTTTTATTTTTTCCATATGTGATCATGTCTTCATTGAGAATGTGCAATATAAAACGTTTTTAAAATAAAGAACAAACATTACATAAATAACTATCTGATGATTACTTATTAACAGTATTATTATGCATAATAATGCATATGTCTGTGTTATAAATTGCATACAACTTACCTCCAGATGGCCACAAATCTGTCCCGGGACATATTTTGGGGGAACTGCGTCCTGAAGAGAGATTTACTCTGTCGCCAATAATCTCTTCGTACTGGCAACACAAGAAGTCCCATGCCCATACACAGCCCAATAAATGTCTTCATCTCCGTCACAGTCACGGGTGACCACTTTGCCATCTTTGCTCTTGTTGGAGTTTGGTTTGTTTGGTCACTGTACCTATTCGTCTCGGTAACAAGATGCATCCAAAGTTCTTCATTAAAAATATGCTCAAATGCCTGCAGCGGTGTGGCGTCTGCAGGCAAATCAACTTTCACTCCAGGTGTGCGGTTGAAAACACTCCGTGCATTGCGGTGGTAGTTCGATTGGTTCAGCGCGTTCAAAGTCATCATTTTCATCTATACCGTCATCAAAGCCGACATACTCCTCAAAATCACTGCCTTCCGACAACTCTTCTCTATCAAACTCCTCCATGTTTGCTTGAAAAAAACTTCTTTCTTCTTGCTTGACTTATATGCTCTCCCGGCGTCAATGGTAGAATTACGCAACAGCGCCCCCGGCTTGAATGGTAGAAATGCGGTAATGCTTTCCCGGCCTAAATGGGTTAATATAGGTCTGATACAAACTCTTCCGATATCTGACTTGATCTAATACATAAATCTATAAATTTAGGTACCATAAAAAGCTAAAAGATCAGTTCATGACCTCGATGAACACTTTGGTTGTGCATCAGATCAACGCTCTAACCACTAACCCCTTCTAAAACTTTAAAACAAAAACAGTAATATTAAATTAAGGTTTTGAAACAGTCCAAGTTCAAAACTTAACTAAACTGATTTGCCTTCAATTGACATTTAACAGGTATTTCAAAATAAAAACGTATTCAAAAGAAATCTAAAAAAGTCCCAAAACAATTGTTGAAAGTAGGGCTGCAATTAACGATTATTGTGTAAACCAGTCTATTATTTTCTTTTTAATAATTTATGTTAACTGGAAAAAAAAAAAAAAAAAGACTTTATGAATTTAAACCAGGTGAAAATTAAAACCTTTTCACTTCTCTAGTTAGAGCACATTGACAGACAAAAGTTATCTTAAATGCAAATTGTTTTTAAGTTTTTATGTTACAATGTTGGTATAATTACTGCTCTAAGTGTGTGGCTCTGTCAGCTAAAGGCAAGTTTTAGAGACTCTACTCTCTGGTTAATCAACTACTAAATTAGATTAATCAATTTATCTGATAATTTTCTATGCCCTAATTGAAAGTTTATTGTGCATTTATATCTTTCCTCTGATGTAAAAGACTTATGCCCAATTATTACAAACAAACAATGGGTACTAAAGCTGCCAAAGGAGGCACAGTCAGTTATTACTTAACAACCAAGGTCAATTTCGGTGACAAAGCAAAATCAGATGAAAACCATATGCGGATAAATTAATTACCCCTACTATACCTTCCTTACTGCTATACATTTTGAAATGCAGTCACATTTTAAATGTAACTGATATAAAAGTGGTTCAGATATTTGACAATTTTCACTTACTTATCAAAGAAAAGTGGGGAAAAAAGGCGGAAAAACTTGGAAACTTCTGCTGTAAGATTTAACTAAAATCTAATATTTCCATCAGCTACATAAATTACAATTGAACTGCCTTAATAGGGACATTTCTCTCCCATGGGTCTCAGTGATGACATAGCTTCCCTGCTACCATGCTAACAACAGCTAGCTTGGTTGAAAGACTGTATGGAAGCTCTTTACAGTTCCTAGCAGCAAACACCACACATGACAACCGCTTTACATGTCGCCAATCACCCCTTTCTCCTTATTTTGGTCATCCTAAGCTAACAATTATCCTTAAAGGGGCTGCAGACAGGCGGCTAATGTAGCCGGCTAGCTTGAAAGCAGCCATGCCTTTTCTCTCGGGGAACACGTGGAGTGAGCACGTGACGCCTCTAAACGAACCCGATCATTTATAGCGATTAAAGAAGCATATGTTTTCATGATGGGCGATGTTTCAGGATGGGGTACAAAACCCAAACAGGCTGGGTTAAAAAAAAAGGACATTCGCCAGATGAGATCCGGGCTAACGGTGAAGGCTAAAGAGACAGGCTAGGCCGAAGGGGAGTGTATGTGTGTGCTATTGTTAGCCCTGGCTAAGCTGTTACAAAGCCAACCACAGCTATTTCATTCTGCTTTAACTCATGCAGAGAGCACGGACGCGTATTTCTGACTTGGCGTGGCTGCCTGTCTGTCCCCAAAGACAAAACAAACAAAAAGCAAAGATCGGTTCAAATAGTTTACAAGCCAATAATAACCGGAGTCCTGCCAGGCTGCAGATATCATGTGGGACTACTAACGAGAAAAAGTTGCAATCAGACAGCAATGATGACACAGCAAAAACAAAACATTAAATAAAAACTGGATACACAGGGAATCAAGCTTTTTGACAACACGGTTTTCCTAAATAAGCAACAACACAAAGGTAGTGTGAGAGCCAAACCATTAAATTACACCCCTTAGATGATGTTAGGTGTAATTAAGATCGTAAATCATGTTGAAGACCAATCCAGAGAGAACAGATCGAGCATATTAAGTATTTCTTTAAAGGGTGTGAACACTTTACGTTGAGAGGCACTCATGTTTGACCCTAAGAATAGCCTTCAGTGTGAGGAGGGTGGGGGTCTTTAACTCCAAATATATCCAGACTGACAGCTCTTTATTTCTCTATTTATCTCTTATTATCTGTATGTGAGGCTGATGTCTGGTGGGAACATACCGGTGTGTGTCTGTCCGTTCACGCTGACCACGGTCACCGCGTTCATTTTCCTGGTCCACGGGTTCACCTTGGGCGGGGGAGCTTCAGTAAACTCCTTCCTCCCCCCGCTGCCTTTACCCTCGCCTAGCTTGTCCCCGCTGTCACTGCTGTCCTCGTCCTGCTGGAGCTCCGTCGCCCGTTTGGAGCTCTGCCCCTCGCCGCCGGTGTTCCCTCCCAGTTCGGCGCCGCTGTCCGCGACACCTCGCTTGGCCCGCTGCAGCTCCTCCTCCTCCTCCTCTGCTACTTCCACCGGCTCGCCGTGGATCACTTTGCCATGCTCCTCCGCCTTGGCAAGAGGGTTTCCCGGCAGAAGAGCCTCCACCTGAGTGGCCATTTCCCCACCACCGTCTTCCTTCCCACCCCCTTCTAAGGATTTAACAATCCCTTCCTTCCCCCCTACTCACTAGTCCGAATCCGCCTTCAATTTCAGGGAAGTGTGAAGTTGCTCCACGGGGGCCTACCGCTCCTCTTTCGCTCCGAGACCCAAATAGTTTCGGCCCGGGGTGCGGAGCGGTCAGCACCGAGAGACAAAATATACGAGAAAAACGCGAATAAATGTGTCCAACGGCCTCTTAGGATTAGAACCTTATCAGCACCAGCAGCAGCAATATGGATGATCCCCACCACGCGACAGACGAGTGCGCGCACGTACTATGTAGAGGAGGAGGAGTAGCCACGTAAACGTAGGGAGCGCGCTCCTGGGGTCGGGTTGGAATGGTGCATTCAGTGGCTGTTTGATAACAGCGTTTCTCGGATAGCAACTACAAAAAAAAATAAAAGAAAGCAAAATAAATAAAGTAAAAAGAGAAAGGCTAGATATTAATAATGCAAGACCATACTTTTCCCATACTTATCCAAATACTAGTTATTGTGATGTTTTAGTAACGGGGATATATTATGAATGATGTGCATTGGACAAAAAAATTAAGACCATTATAACAAAAGTAAATGGAATTGATTAAAAATATTTCAACTAATTTAAAAAAAATACATTTCAACCAGTTTTTTAAGCACCTTGCTTCAAATATGTGTAACCTAATCATAAAGCTGTTATTTTACAGATATATATGTTTTATATTGTTTTTTTGTTTTTGATTTTGCAGAAAATTAGAAAACATGTAATGTCCTGTAAATGCCTTGCATATAAATAATTTACAATGAGAATGGCAACCATTTGTAAGCATTAAGGGGTAAAACGCTTTTTGGTTTTGGTGCTGAAATTTCCCAGTCAACGTGAAGACACCGTGGATCCAAGTATGACGTGGGCCTCGAGCAGCACAAACATCAGCCTGTAGTACATGAGAACATGTGTTCTGAAAAAAACAGTTTTTAACCACAGGCGATTGCTTGTTTAGCGTAATGTTTTTCATTGTGTGATAGTATGTCACTAGTGTGATTTAAAGCAGTTGTCACTGTAAATATAAGTTTAAAAAGAGGGGAAGACAAAGTTGATCCTCTAAACTCACACGTGCCCATATATATGTGCACGTGCCCCGCCAGGCGCCGAACCCCGACTTTCACATTGTTTTTTTCCTGTTTTTCTTTTTTTTTTATCTCTAAAAGTTTTCATGTTTTGACCACAACCAGCTGGTATACTTGCAGAGTTTACGTGGACATGCTGGTTTACACTGAGGTGCACACCAGAAGTGATGTGTCTCTAAGTTATGTAATTTAAAAGATTAAAGATGGAGTTAATATTAAAGTTTGGACTTAAAAGTGCTTGGTAAAATCTTCAAAAGACCTTCAAAACCTTGGAGAACTGCTTCTTAAGAACAGGGATTAAAAAACAGTCTGGCTCCTTGGAAACAAACTAAAATAAGACTGGATATTTGCACAATAGTGTGGTTACACAATTAGAATAGGTAGAGGATCCTAAGGGTGGTGTGTATTTGGACCCCAGGTTGTCTTAAGTCTTGCAAAAACACATTAACCATGTTTGCTCTACCACCCCTGATGTTCATCCTGTTCTTTATGACCCTGGCTGTAGGACTTTCTGGCTACTTTATAAGAGTAGCTAAATAAGGGTTGTTGTTATCACCTTCATAGAGCTGTTCGCAGCTTTGTGGAGGCGTTAAGCCTTCAGTATGCCTAAATTGGAAAAAAATTAAAAGAATAATCGTATTGCATGTCTTCAAAATAAAGGTGTTTCTGCATATTTTTTTCGAGTGAAGATAAATCTGCTCCCACGGAGAGAGGAGTGAAATGGCTCATTGTATAGACCTTTGCAAAACACTTAACCCTTTCAGGATGTTTTGACTTGCAAAGATAACATTTATTAGTATGCTCTTTTGGCCCCCACTTACATTTAGAGTCATTAGAAAGTCCAACCCATGATTCTGTATAGCCTATAGAACATCCTTTAGCAGCATTAACTAATTTTTCTGTCTCTCATATCAATGTAGAGTTCTTTTACCCTCTCTCCTTTTACCCGCTGCATTTTTTTTAAGGCTGGCAGGGCTTATGGTTTCCACAGTCCTCTTCAGGTCCCACCAGGTTATGTGTAATTTCTATAGATTATCAGCTAGGTTTGCAATGCCCAGAGGGGCGTTCTGAACTAGTCTCCTATTGCTTATGTGCATATCTTACACCACAACTTTGGAGCACAATAGTGACAAGTCAATACCAATACTGATTAAAAATCAGATGCAGTACACCTGTTTATTGAGGAGGGCATCAAATACCTATTTCCCACTGGCCGAAAAACCTGTTTAAACCCGGGAACAATCAGATTTTAGTGGAACTGCGAACAGCTCAATGATGCATGTACCGGGTAAAAACGGCTCGGCAAGCGACCCGTGTAAAAATCGCCTCAGATCGGCATGTGTGGGAACACCACAGTCGGGTTGACCCGTTAATTTAAAGGGGAAATTAAATGTTCAACCAAACCAGAGAAATGCAGAAAGTGCTACAAAACATCTACTTATACTGTTTATTAGCAAAGAAAAAAAAAACATTTTAGTTTGAGACTTACTAGGCCAAAGGGGTGTACACATAAAAATGTGGCCAAAATGTGGGCATGTGATTTGTTCACTGCTGCACTTTAAGGAATGGTAATGTCATGAAAGCTGTACAAAACAAAATGTTGTTTTGTATACACTGTGTATACAAACTGACAATAAAAGTTGTCTTAGTCTAAATCTAAGATACCAAAATATATAGATATTTTATTCTGACAGCTTCTACAGATTCTGGGGGAGGCTGATGTCATGGAATCTGCCTTTATTGATAAGACGCCCCTCTGCACCTGTGGCCATACAGCCTTTAATGTGGCAGAAACCCTCTGGTCTCTGGATGTTGTTGGGCTGTCATGGCTGACATGCCTCTTAAACATTCTGTAGCAGTTGGGGACAGTGCCCCAGGACTGACAGACTGGGGCGGTAGTTTCCCTTGACCAGAACAAGGACCGGAGGGAGTGTTCCAACTCCAGGAGATCACCCCGCTCTGCCTCCCTGGGAAGGCCATGATGCTGGATAGGAGAGTCTGACTGATTGCTGAAGCAGTGTGGTTTTCTTCTTGAGCTTGGGACACTGGACAGGCTCTGCACCATCTGCTGGGTGCTCAATGGCTGATGGAAGTTTGCCCAACCAGTCCACATGTGCTTTGTGCTCTGTCCCTCATGATGCCCTGTGAGGAGTGCTCCAGAAGTAGTGAGTTAGGGTCCTTTATAAGAAGCCAAACGGTCTCTTTACAAGCAATGCAGGAGTCTGGTCTGCATTGCCAGCATGAAGCCAGACCTGTTCCCCATGCATGTTTGACTCCTGCAGAGCTGCCCTCTGTCATCGGTCCTGTTCATAACCTTTATGGAGGGGATCTCTAGGCGAAGCCAAGTGCCGGAGGGAATCGATTTTTAGGATTAGTAGGTATTGTCTCTGCTTTTTACATTTGACATGGTTCTGTTGCTAGCTGCCTTGTGCCTCGGATTGGCTATTGCTATAATGAGGACTCTGTACTAGTCTTTTGTGGTGAAGAGACAGCTGAGTCATAAGGAAAGGCCCTCAATTTACTTTACTGCTCGGTCTATGTTCCTACGCTCAACTATGGTCATCAAATCTGGATAATGACCAAAAGACAAGATTCCTATTTAAATCAATACAGTCAGAAAATACAGTCAGATGGGCAGAAAAGCAATCAATTGCATTGAATAATTGACTTGCAAGACATACTCCTCCTGGATGAGTTTGAAGCAACAATTTTCGTTTGCATTTTGTCTTGACTGAAATTCCAGATAAAAGCAGCTGAAACTATCTTTCTCTGCAGGGTGGAAAGGCGGTCCATTATACCCCTTTCCCACTGGCCGAGAATCCAGTTTAGTCCCGGGAATAATTGGCCTTTAGTGGGAACACATCAGGGACCTTTGTCAACCTAGGTCAAACAACTTGGCAAGCAACCCGTGTTAAAGTTGCCTCAGCTCTGCTCAGCAAGCTGTGGAAACTTCAGACTCGGTTTGACCCGTTAAATTATGGCGTCAATACAGTGCGCCAGTCACGTCTGATCTAACAAGCGGAAACAAATCTGTTTACATTCGAAAAAAACATGGTGCAGCACTGGTCAGAGGGCTTAGGACAGATAAAAGAATGAAACAATACAGCACACTTACTAAGCCCTGGCTTGCTTCGATGTTGCCTTCCACTGGTTACTTTCCTGATTTCTGTAGCACTGTTGAATTCATCAACACTAACCCATCTTAATTTTGTGTCCAGACAAACATCAGGATCAGACCCTTTTTTTTGGCAATGGGAAGGGACCCAAATGATGATTGTTAGCGAGTCGACCCCTGTTTGAAAAACCCAGGTTAACCCGCTAATTTCAGTGGGAAAGAGGAGTTAGAGATAGGGTGAGAAACTTGGCCATTTGGGAGAGGCTTGGTGTGGAGCTGCTTCTCCCCAACACTGAGAAGAGTCAAATGAGGTGTTTTATAAATCTGTTCTGTATGCCCCCTGGTCGCATCCCTTGGGACCCGGCATGTTCCACCAGGAGGAGGCCAAAGGCACAGTCCACGGCACTCTGGAGGGACTATGTCTCATGGCTCAAGCACCTCGGAGTTCCACCAGAGTAGCTACAGGGGTGGTCTGGTGAGAGGGAAGTCTGAGAGCCTCTGTTGAAACTGCTGCCACACATGACCTGGTACCAGATAAAGCAGAGTACAATCATGTAAAAGGATGTGAAGTAAGAGATGCATTTTTAAGTAACAGACTGTTGGAGTCTATTCACAAGAAAAGAGCTGTACTTAAAATATAAGAATGAGGCCATGATGATACAGTAGGTTGATGGAAAAATGCCATATTAAGTTCTTGTTGTTAAAAACATGGAGGGTGGGGATGGATGGATCTGCTTTTGGTCTTGAACACATTCATATTTTTTTCTCCTTCTTGATAAGCACAATGTTTTCCCTAAAATAATCTGTTGCAGCTGCATGGGACCATTTGGACTAGTCTGGAAATCTCTGAAAAGACACATTGATGACTGAAGGTATTCATCTTCTCTACTTTTACCAATTCCTGGACCAGCAGTGTAAATGTACCCTTTGTGAGAAACTGGCATTTGCTTGATACAATTTCCGTGCCACTATCTTAAATATTCATAACTCAAATACCAGTCACTGAGGGCTAATTATGATACAGTGAGGATCAACTGTCCGAAAGGTTATT